GGACTGCTATAGATGGAAGTGTTCCTAAGGTTGAATAGCTGTCACCAGAGGTAATAAAACCACAGTAAAGAAAGTAGAACAGCTAATTATGAAGCAAATGCAAAATTAAATTAACTAGCCCCAAAGTCAATCAAGGGATAGATGAAGAATACATGATACCTAATATATAAAGAATGGAGGAGGAAGAAAAAGGAGGAGAAAAAGAAAAGAACCTTTAGATTATGTTTGTAACAGAATATTAAGTGAGTTAAGTTAGACTCTTAGATAGTAAGGAAATTAACCTTGAACTTTTTGGTAACCACAAATCTAAAGCCTGCAACAGCAACAAGTACATACGTATCAATAATCACCCTAAATGTAAATGGACTGAATGCACAAATCAAAAGACATAGAGTCACTAAATGGGTAAAAAAACAAGACCCATCTATATGCTGCCTACAAGAGACTCACTTTAAACCCAAAGATATACACAGACTAAAAGTGAAGGGATGGAAAAAGATATTTCATGCAACTAACAGAGAAAAAAGCAGGAGTTCTAGTACTTGTATCAGACAAAATAGACTTCAAAACAAAGAAAGTAACAAGAGACAAAGAAGGACATTACATAATGATAAAGGGGTCAATCCAACAAGAAGATAAAACCATTATACATATCTGTACTCCCAACACAGGAGCACCCACATATGTGAAACAAACACTAACAGGAATAAAAGGAGAAATAGAATGCAATGCATTCATTCTAGGAGACTTCAACACACCACTCACTCTGAAGGACAGATCAACCAGACAGAAGATAAGTAAGGAGACAGAGGCACTGAACAACACAACAGAACAGATGGACCTAACAGGCATCTACAGAACTCTACACCCAAAAGCAACAGAATACACATTCTTCTCTAGTGCACATGGAACATTTTCAAGAATAGATCCATATACTAGGCCACAAAAAGAGCCTCAGTAAATTTAAAAAGATTGAAATTGTATGAACCACTTTCTCAGATCACAAAGGTATGAAACTAGAAATAAATTATGCAAAGAAAATGAAAAATCCCACAAACACATGGAGGCCTCACAACATGCTCCTAAATAACCAATGGATCAATGACCAAATAAAAACAAAGATCAAGCAATATATGGAGACAAATGTCAACAATAATTCAACACTGCAAAATCTGTGGGACGCAGCCAAGGCTGTGCTAAGAGGAATGTATATTCCAATAAAGGCCTACCTCAAGAAAGAATCCCATACAAGCAGTCTAACCTCACAATTAATGAAACTAGAAAAAGAACAACAAATGAGGCCTGAAGTAGGGACATAATAAAGATTAGAGCAGAAATAAATAAAATTGAGAAGAATAAAACAATAGAAAGAATCAATGAAAGCAGGAGCTGGTTCTTCGAGAAATAAACAAAATAGATAAATCCCTAGCCAGACTTATCAAGAAAAAAAGAGAGTCTACACACATAAACAGAATCAGAAATGAGAAAGGAAAAATCACTATGGACACCACAGAAATATAAAGAATTATGAGCAAATACTATGAAAAATTATATGCTAACAAACTGGATAACCTAGAAGAAATGGACAACTTTCTAGAAAAATATAACCTTCCAAGACTGACCAAGGAAGAAACAGAAAATCTGAACAGACTAATTACCAGCAATGAAATTGAACTGGTAATCAAAAACCTACGTAAGAACAAAACTCCTGGACCAGATGGCTTCACCGCTGAATTTTATCAAACATTTAGTGAAGACCTAATACCCATTCTTTTTAAAGTTTTCCAAAAAATAGAAGAGGAGGGAATACTTCCAAACTCATTCTATGAGGCCAACATCGCTCTAATACCAAAACCAGGCAAAGACACCACAAAATAAGAAAATTACAGACCAATATCCTTGATGAACATAGATGCAAAAATACTTAACAAAATATTAGCAAACTGAATTAAAAAATACATAAAAAAAACATCCATCATGATCAAGTAGGATTTATGCTGGGGATGCAAGGATGGTACAACATTCGAAAATCCATCACCATCATCCACCACATCGATAAAAAGGACAAAAACCACATGATCATCTCCATAGATGCTGAAAAAGCATTCGACAAAATTCAACATCGATTCATAACAAAAACTCTTGATAAAATGGGTATACAGGGCAAGTACCTCAACATAATAAAGGCTATATATGACAAACCCACAGCCAACATTATACTTAACAGCAGGAAGCTGAAAGCTTTTCCTTTAAGATCGGGAACAAGACAAGGATGCCCACTCTCCCCAATTCCATTCATCATAGTACTGGAGGTCCTAGCCACAGCGATCAGACAACACAAAGAAAGAAAAGGCGTCCAGATTGGCAAGGAAGAAGTTAAACTGTCCCTATTTGCAGATGACATGATATTGTACATAAAAAACCCTAAAGACTCCACTCCGAAACTACTAGAACTAATATCTGAATTCAGCAAAGTTGCAGGATACAAAATTAATACACAGAAATCTGTGGCTTTCCTATGCGCTAACAATGAACTAGCAGAGGGAGAAATCAGGAAAACAATTCCATTCACAACTGCATCAAAAAGAATAAAATACCTAGGAATAAACCTAACCAAGGAAGTGAAAGACCTATACCCTGAAAACTACAAGACACTCATGAGGGAAATTAAAGAAGACACCAATAAATGGAAACACATCCCACGCTCATGGATAGGAAGAATTAATATTGTCAAAATGGCCATCCTGCCTAAAGCAATCTATAGATTCAGTGCAATTCCTATCAAAATGCCAACAGCATTCTTCAACAAACTAGAGAAAATCATCCTAAAATTCATATAGAACCACAGAAGACCTCGAATAGCCAAAGCAATCCTGAGAAGGAAGAATAAAGCAGGGGGAGTTACGCTCCCCAACTCCAAGCTCTACTACAAAGCCACAGTAATCAAGACAATTTGGTATTGGCACAAGAACAGACCCATAGACCAGTGGAACAGACTAGAGAGCCCTGATATAAGCCCAATCATATATGGTCAATTAATATATGATAAAGGAGCCATGGACATACAATGGGGAAATGACAGCCTCTTCAACAGATGGTGTTGGCAGAACTGGACAGCTACATGCAAGAGAATGAAACTGGATTATTGTTTAACCCCATACAGAAAAGTAAACTCAAAATGGATTAAAGACTTGAATGTAAGTCATGAAACCATAAAACTCTTAGAAGACAGCATAGGCAATCATCTCCTGAATATAAGCATGAGCAACTTCTTCCTGAATCCATCTCCTCGAGAAAGGGAAACAAAAGCAAAAATGAACTCATGGGACTACATCAAACTAAAAACTTTTGGTACAGCAAAGGACATCATCAACAAAACAAAAAGGCATCCTACAGTATGGGAGAATATAGTGGTAAATGACATATCTGACAAGAGGTTAACATCCAAAATATATAAAGAACTTACACACCTCAACACCCAAAAAGCAAATAACCCGATTAACAAATGGGCAGAGGATATAAAGAGACAGTTCTCCAAAGAAGAAATTCAGATGGCCAACAGGCACATGAGAAGATGCTCCACATCACTAATCATCAGGGAAATGCAAATTAAAACCACAATGAGATATCACCTCACACCAATAAGGATGGCCAGCATCAAAAAGACCAAGAACAACAAATGCTGGTGAGGATGCGGAGAAGGGGGAACCCTCCTACACTGCTGGTGGGAATGTAAGCTAGTTCAACCATTGTGGAAAGCAATATGGAGGTTCCTCAAAAAACTAAAAAAGAAATACCATTTGACCCCAGAATCCCACTCCTTGGAATTTACCCAAAGAATACAACTTCTCAGATTCAGAAAGACATGTGCACTTCTGTGTTTATCACAGCACTTTTTACAATAGCCAAGATATGGAAGCAACCTAAGTGTCCATCAGGAGGTGAATGGATAAAGAAGATGTGGTACATATACACAATGGAATACTATTCAGCCATAAGAAAGAAACAAATCTGACCATGTGCAACAACATGGATGGAGCTGGAGGACATTATGCTCAGTGAAATAAGCCAGGTGGAGAAAGACAAGTGCCAAATGATTTCACTCATTTGTGGAGTGTAACAATGAAGCAAAACTGAAGGAACAAAATGGCAGCAGACTCACAGACTCCAAGAATGAACTAGTGGTTACCAAAGGCGAGGGGTGGGGAAGGGGGTGGGGAGGGAGGGAGAAGGGGATTGAGGGGTATTATGTTTAGTACACATGGTGTGGGGGATCACGGGGAGAACAGTGTATCACAGAGAAGGGACATAGTGGATCTCTGGCCACTTGCTGCACTGATGGACAGTGACTGCACTGGGGTATGGGTGGGGACTTGATAATATGGGTAAATGTAGTAACCACATTGTTTCTTCATGTGAAAGCTTTGTAAGAGTGTATATCAATCGTACCTTTAAAAAATAATAATAATAATAATTTCTGCCCAACTGGGTACATTTAATCACGGATCGTGCCCCAGCCATCCCTTTGGGCTTCCCCCTAATCTCTCAAAATGCATCCTGGATGAAAATCAGAAGGGTGAGGCCATTTGCCAAGTGGGCGAGACTTGTGCAGGGACAGTCTCTCAGTTTCCGGGCTGTGGCTGAGCAGGAGCTCCCTGCACAGCTCCACGCTCCGGAATTCCCCCTCTGCGACCTTACCGAGTTCCCCTCCGCGGTGTTGAGGGCTGACAGCCAGCCATGCAGAAGCCCAGAGGCCCGTGTTCCCACCCTTGCTGCTTCCAGGGGAAGCTACACACAGGACCAGCAACCAACCAGCCTCCCTGTTCGCCCGTGTTAGTGAAAATAAAACTACAGCAGAAGGCCCAGCCGGGAGGTGTGCTCCTGAGCGTTGCCATGATTCCTTATTACAGGTGCACATAGCACTTACCTAGACGTGTTTTCAAGTATCCCTTTGACCTCGTTCATTTCTTCCTTCCCAAAGTAAACAACGGTGAGATGGATTCTCCCATCCTGTTGAATGCACATCTCCCTAGAAAACAAAACACACATCTGTTTGGGCCTGTTTTCACATTAATAAGCAATGCCCAAACAAACGCCTATTTGGTGAAGTGCAAATGAGTCTTAAAGTAAGTGAACTGCCGGGAAAGCAGAGATGGGGACCTAGGCATTTCTGGCTGGCATCACAATTACGTATTTTTGTCATTTACCTTACCAAGAAAACAGTGAAATTTGAACATACAGATCGGATCAGAAAACTCAGATGCAAGAGGTGTGGGTCCCATCTGCCACAGGCCTCGCCCCCGGGGCCGTCCAGTGGCATGGAAAGGGCACTGGCCCTTCTTTGCTGAAACAAGTCTATGAAGTACAGAAGACACCAATTCCATGGGCAGGTGAGGAAGCTCAAGTCCAGAGGGGGTAAGACTAGCATCCTTGTTGACTTTCCTTGTGTGTACCAGACACAAACAGTCTAAAGAGGTAAAGACATTGTGCCAGGCAGGGCTCCAGACGCCTCAGTGTCACAGCGTGATGGCAAGGCCAAAGCACAGCTGCTGTGTCTCACCCTCCCAAGCAGACCCAGTGCCCCGCACTGCGGCCCCACTTCCCCTCTGTGATGGAGTTTTAGGCACCTGGCTCCGAGGTCTGAGAGCTAGGCCTCTGGCTCTGGACTGGTCTCGACGTGCCTTCCCCACCACAGCCATCTGTAACCTGCCCATGTCCTATTCTCTCAATGGTAACCCCAACCTAAGCTGGTGAGAGCCTCTGCTGAGGGTTGACTTCATATATGTGTGTAATACCTGTGCAAATGTATATGTAGACATGTGCATATATGTGTGTATATGACTATGTGCTTATGTATACATGTACATGTGTACACATATGTATATGTCTGCAGAATTTTAACAGGAGTTTTCTGGAAGCAAGTTAATGACAGATTCTACCGGTGGGATGATACTGTGTGACATTTGGTATTCTACACGCTCTTCCATTTTATTCCTTTTGTCTCTGTGTTAGTTTTTATCCTTAACCCCCAAATAACATTCCACATCATAGCTTTCCAGAAATCCCTGAGTCCTAATCTAGTCAATGCTTTTTATGACATTAAAAAGGAGTGACTGTCTACCTGGGGTTTCTGGGAGAAACCCAAAGAAATAGAGGATATGGTTCCTGCTCTCAAAAAACTTTTCTGAGAAAAAAAAAATGAGCTCAAGTAATATAATGACACCCCATGGTACTAACCAAAAGTATGCAGAATCAGAAAGCATGGCAAAAACCGTGGGCTGGAACCGCTGGGGACTTAAAGGACAGATGGGGTGGAGGTAAAGAGGAGGAAGAAGGGAATTCTAGTTGGAAGACGCATCTGGGAAGAGTCTACCACCAGGGCAAGAGGCACACAAGGGCTCACCCTGGTCCCAGGCTTGCTTCTCAGAATTGCTTCTTGCCTGTGGAAGACAGGAAGAGCTGCCCCTGAAGCCTGGTCTAATGGTGGAGGTCTCAAAAGCAGGCAAGGGACCAGGATCAGAGGGCTGGGTGCAACCACGTGCTTCAAAACTGTGAGCTCCCTCCCAGCCCGGTCCCTGCAGACAGAATCACCAACTACGGACAACGAAATTCCCTGTACACAGAAGAGTCCTTTGCAAACCTGCCAGATGACATTTAACTTCCTTTTCCAGGGTGGAATAAAAGCAGACTCCCAGCACCAAGCCCCCAAAAATCCAGGCTTTAAAATTGTGTGTGCAGCTGGAAGATGTCCATCCCCAATCAGGAGAGGGCCGCCCACTGTGCCTGAACAAAAAGCACTCTCGTTTTTCTAGCAACATCTTTGCCAGCATTTTAAAATCCATTCAAAGCACTTCCTGTTTTCATGGATAAAACAGAAATACACTGAACATTTATTCTTTATTCACCAGCTGAGGCTTCCCCAAAAGGCAATGCAGGGTTTGTTCTGAGGCCCACCTCCAGGGTTCTCTTCCACTTATTCATTTCTGCCTTCCTTTATTCATTCAACAAACAGTAACTAAACAAATAAACAGCATGCCATGTGCCTGATGCTCCATTAGGGCATCTTAAAAAATGAGCAAGAGATTTCTGCCTGTGCAAGCTCTCCATCTACTGTGTATGACTGAAACTATTGATAATGCAGTGAACAAATGCTCTGGGAGAGAAAGAGCATGGTACCTGGAAACACAGTCTCCACCTTCTCTGAACGATCTTGCAATTCTTGGGTTTTTCTAAACAATTCTCAGTAGACCCCACCCCCTGGAAAGATGTGTGTGACAGAGTGTGCATGTGGGTGACTGTGTACATGGAGACACCTGTTTAGGTGTAATTATTTGCTACCACCTGGATCTCTCGAGCTGGTTTATGCACCCCTGACAGCACATATCTTAACAACCACAGTAGCATTATAGCAAAACCTTCAGAACGAATTTCAGGGAACCCAACTTCTTAAGATGCCATTGGGCAAGCTCTTATATCATGGCTGCTTTGCATTACTAGCTCCACATCCTATTTGGTCCTTCTTCCATCTTAACCTGGAAGCCTAAAAATTCTGTTTCTATTTCACAAGGACCTTGTTGTCTCTTAGGACTTTTTTTCTGGAAAACAGCAGTTTCCTCTCCCCCAGGATATTGTAGCACAGAGACCAATTAAGATATATTTTCAGTCACAACATGTATCACAGTTGCTTACACATCTATGTCTTTATTTCCCAAGAGGCCAAAAGCACGGACCTGTCCGAGGTCCATCACAAATCCGCACAGCTGTGCTGCAGAGGAGGCCCTGTTCACACCCTCAGTGAACAGGTCTGGAAACGAGCTCCAGCGGCTGCCCAGGCTGTGGGGTGGCTAGGCATGCCGTGTGGGTTTCCTGAGTACCAGCTAGGCATCTGCCAACCCCTGGTGGCCTTGGCAGGAGGAAGAATGTGCCGGAAAAGCTGCCGAGTCACACAGGAAGAAAACTGCCGAGTCACAAAGTGGGTGGAAATGAGGACCTGGTACTGCCTGAAGAGGGACAGGAGTGATCTGAGGCCTTCTGGGATCTGGCTTTAAAATACAATAGTCTTCTTTTGGCTTGGTTGACGTTGGGGTCTGCTCCCCCATGTCAATCCCAGCCCCCAGCCCAAGCTGAACATATACACAATCCCTCTATTCTGTTACTCGAGCAGGCCGGTCAGTGTTGGGAAATGGGGCTGGTTTTGCCTTTAATCAGGCAGTCAGGACCTCCTCTCCCAGTTGCCCATTTCACAACAGCAAACGAGATCATTTCCCAACTGACTGTTTTCCGCTCTTGGGTAGACGTCTACATAATCTATGGCTCAGATGAAATAAGAAACCAATTCCATTATCTAAATAAGGTGAACGATGTCAATTAGTGTTTCTCAAACATATTAGCCATAAAATCTTCCTGGGTGCAACACTGTGTGAAGTGAGGAAGGATCTGTGGGAGCAGTAGGGGGTGTGAAGAGGTGACAGAGCTACACTGTGAACATGACAGCCGCTTCTCTTTTGAGAAACATGAAGGCCAGAGGTCTGTCTCCATTGCGCTCCCACCTTTGATGACCTGAGGCCTTTCTATTACACTGCAAATCACACCAGCTTAGCCTATATTTGGGCTCATTTCAATCTCAGAGAGTCTACTGTTATTGTTTTAAAAGAATCCAGAAATGTCCAGAAATATCTTAATGGATCAAGGCAGAAAAAGGATTTTAAAAATTGCTAAAGGAAATTCAAGTCAAAGATGTCCCTGGTGCTGCCTTAAAATGTCCTGAGTGGGATGAGAAAAGAGTCCAGAGAAGAAAAGAAAGCAGAAGATTAAACCAAAAATAACAGCAAAATCTGAGGAGAATCAGAGCAACATGAGAAAGGGTTCTCAGTCCAACTAGAAGCAGTCAAAATAAAAATCAAGCAAACTTGGAATGAATTGGGATTTTTGAAAATCGTAAAAAGTCATTTCCATAAAAATCCATTTTTTCTGGGAGAGGCTCAGAGATTAAGACACAAAGAGACTCCAGAGCTCTACTATTGTGAGGTTCTTCCCGCTACCCCCCAATGAAGGACACAGGGAAGTAACAAACCCACTTTCCAGAAGCCAAGGGAACGAAGCAGCCAGAAAGCAAATGTGAGGACAGTTTCAAAGGAAAAATCACAAGGATGTCAGCCAGGGAAGGAGAGTGAAAAGCCATCTCATCTCCAAGAACAAGGGCATCACTGAGCACACGGGCCCCCCAGAGGCCCTGCGACACCAGATCATGGCCATCCATGCTGCTCCCACCAGGGGCACTGGGGCTTTTATTCCGAGTCAGGGAGATGATAGCATTGAAGCTTTAGCTTCATAATTTCTTGTAAATCCTAGGAACATTGCACAGGTAATGCTCACTGCCTCTTAAATAAAGGCTATTAGGGTCTAGTGCTAAGGAAAAGGCTTGTCTCCCCAGTAAAGAGCAGCCTTCTTTTCCCTGAGGGCTGCAGTAAACTAGTCTTTGTTTTTCCATTTTCCCCTTGTCTGCCAGGAAGCTCAGAGGTGGAGTTTTTGACAAGCTGCAGTTGTTTCTCTTAGCCCCAGCTTCCAGATATCCTGGCCACCATTCCACATTCCCCATTGTTACTGAATGTTTGCCCACTGAGTTTTATGAAAATGGCTTTATTAAATTTGTATTATTTTGTAAACACAAATAATTTTTAGGGTTAGTTGAGATGATTATAATCTCAGTCCATGTACTCCATGCATCCAGGAATCAATTTTGTCAGCAGGCCCCCACTGACACACTCCTGGAGCATGACAGCTTGGTCTCTAGTTCCTGCAGACTGTACCCCACGCAGGGACATGGCCCCAAGTGAGCCAGTCTCTCAGGCCCAGCTTCCCAGGGGCCACTCTGTGTCCTGTGGCCAGGCCTGTTCCCTCTAGGGAATTCCATGTTCTTCATCTATTTCTTCTGTCCAAAAAGGCACATGAGTTATAATTCTTAGCCATTCAGGTCTTTTCTAGGTGAATAACTAGCAAAGTGATGCTGAAGGGGAAGAAGTCCCCAAA